GCCCCCGCCAGGACGGCGAGGAAGGGACCCTGGAATTCATCCTGCAAGGCCATTAATATTCTCCAGCTGGAGCCATCCCTCTGCGGGATTTAAAATACAGCGATTATTTTCTCTCCTGTGGGTCTTGGCTTTTATCCTGTTCGGTGCTTGCCCACTGCCATGCTGCTGGCTCTGCAGGGCAAAGACAAGGTTCATCTCCAGAGGTTTACCTCCTCCCCCTCTTATCTGTATGTCTGCCTCCTCGCCCCCTTTTTAAATCCACTTTGGCCAGAGCACGAATCTTTTGCAGCAGCTTTGCAAAAGCTCTGGTCTCTCCTGTGGGTCTTGGCTTTTATCCTGTTCGGTGCTTGCCCACTGCCATGCTGCTGGCTCTGCAGGGCAAAGACAAGGTTCATCTCCAGAGGTTTACCTCCTCCCCCTCTTATCTGTATGTCTGCCTCCTCGCCCCCTTTTTAAATCCACTTTGGCCAGAGCACGAATCTTTTGCAGCAGCTTTGCAAAAGCTCTGGGTTGCCTGGTCACAGAAGAGGAAAAAACCCGCCAGCAGCATCCAGCTGCATGGGGGCAAATAGATGGGAATGAAAGGGGAATGAGGAGAGCATTTCAGCTCAGGGACGGAGACCTGCTGCTCTCAGTGTGCTGCCTTCTGCCCTGTGGCCTGGTCTCCAGCCTCCCAGGCCAGCTGGGTGGCTGCAGCTGGGATGCCCAGAGCCGCTTGGTACCGTCCCCGGCTGCTCCTCTGCCCCGTGCCCGGCATGGGCTGGCACTGGAACGCAGAACAGCCACCTAGTGCGGCCCTGTCCTCCTTGGCCCTGCTTTTGCCCCCATTGGACTCATTTTTGGGACCCCTCTGGCAAGGGTCACTTCCTCAGGACAGAGACAGACCCGAGCCTGGGGGCTGGGGCACAAGGCAGAGCTGCCAGGTGAACACCAGGAGCCTTCGGAGATGTTCCATCCGACTGCTTGTATGGCCTCTGCTTCTCTTTGCACAATCACAACACACCAGCCGGGCACCAGCAGAGATGGGCAGCCCCCATGGCTGCACACGCTGCCCAGAAAAGCTTGATGCAGGTCTGGATCTCAGAGGGCCCCCCAAGTCCCTGTTTGCAGCTGCGGCATGGGCAGTTGCCACGGATATGTCACTTCCCAGCACTTTCTTCTGAGAGAACAGCTCTGGCTTTGGGAATTAGTCTGCCCGGGATGCGGGAGGCATCCGGAGCATCTGAGTCACGCTGCTTCCAGTGGGCAGGCAGGCAGGGAGCCAGCACCCGGCCCCTTCTTGGTGCTGGAGCTTGGCTCCTGCCCACAGCGAGGGGCATCTGAGCAGCACCATGCTGCAGTTCCACGGTTGGGGTTGGATCCCAACCCCCTCCTTCCCACCCTTCCCCTTCCTGCCTCACTGCTTTTGCGGGCAGGGATGGATGGGTCTTGGGCCAGAAGTGGCAGATCCCTCCTGGGGGAGAATCCGTCGTGGCACTGGAGTTGGAATTTGGAGCAGAAAGTGTCCGCATCTGTAATGCCACACACCAGGGCATCTGATCCCAGGGGGAGCAGGCTGTGGCTGCCTGGGGAGGCCCCAGCTGGAGTCCTGAGGGCGCGTGAGCCCTGGCTGAGCGCCAGCCCCGGGGCAGGGCAGGTTGGGGCTGCGATGGAGGGAGCTCCATCGGCGTTGGTGCTTTGTGGCATCCTCCTGGCCAGCGGTGGCAGGGAGAAGCTGGGGGCTGCAGGCACGGGAGCTGTGCTGTGCTGGCCCGCAAGGTCATTTCAATGTCGCCTAACATGGCTGATGGCTGGATCTCGTGATTACCCTGCTGGTTTGAGTTTCTTCTGACGCATCTGTTGTTTCAGAAAAAAACCCATCATAAACGCTCTACAGGGGGGGGAAAAAAGGCAGCGAGCAAGGCAGCGAGCAAGGCAGAGAAGTGATGCAGTCTCCAATTTCCATGGCAACGTCCTTTTCATTAGGGAATGGGAAAAAGCAGGCTCTTGTTTCCGCTGGTGGTGTAACACGAGGCATTAATCACCCTGCTGGGGCTGGGCACCCGAAAGAAAGCACAGGAGAGGAGAGGCAGGAGCTGGAGGGGGCCAGGGGGGGCCCCGGGGGGGCCGCAGCTGATCCCACCCC